GTGTGCTTGCACGTCTAAGTATAGAAATTCTATGATACCATACTTGGCACGTGTTTTATGTGATGAAAATAGTGTCAGGCAAGAATTAACTAACCTTTTTTCATCCAGTAAATAAACAATTTGCTCCATCTATCCATCCTTATATACCTTCAAGTTTTACTTTTATTATTTCTATTATATTTATGGTCCTGTTGCTTCTTTGTTTTACTCTCATAATTGCGAACACCAACTTATCTCTATGACTCCTGTAATCTTTGTTTTTCCCTTCACCATATCATGTAAAGAGAAGATTATATTCAATATTTTTAAACATTCTAGGATTTCTATACCGCATTAACAATACTGTGTGAAACAAGCCCATGGCAATTTTCATTTGTTTTATTATTATTACCTTGGCTCTTATCATTATTATTATTTCCATTTTATATGCTGCATGTTTCTGACATAAGCCCTATTGTAAATGTGGAAGATTTTCTGTGTGATTAATTTTATTTATAATTTGAGGAAATTAGATGTAATGTTGTGATTGATGCTGAAAATTCCATTTTGTATCACAAGTACTGTTTTTGGAATAAAGTAAATCATTATTATTATTGTTATTATTAATTGAGTCTTGGAAAAATTCTATGGGAAAAACAATAGAAAAGGCATCCATACATACGCAGCCAGTAGTTAGTAAAGGTCACTGGAGTTTTGCAGTTTCACACCTACTGAATAATCTAAAGAAATTGAAATTGGCTAGATTCGAACATGGAGATTAGCGAAAGCTGCTCAAACGTAAGCAACGAATGAGAAGAGTGTTGGGTAAGGAAAGACAGAGAAGTATAAAAGGCATTAGCGATAAGTAATACCAATCAATAATTTAAACTGACTAAGCAGATGAGTTCTATGAAATTTCAGTTATGCAACATGATTTCAGACAAGGAAGGAACTTTACTGATTTCTCAGTAGAGGTGACTCTAACTCTGGGCAGAGTAATTCAAGGAGATGTTCAGCTGACCAACTGTTGCACTACAGTAGCTGAAAGTTCAAAACCTGCCTGAATGCGATGTAGACATTGGCTGTCCAATTGCACTTGAGCGTGTAAAGAGAAGCAGACTATCAAAACCTTATGATGAAATTAAAGAGGTGTTTACGTATGGTTGATGATGAATCTTTTGACTAGATTAATTAAAATATTAACTGGAATGCGGGAGTCTGATGGGATAGTGTAGACCACTAATCTTCCCACTTTATCAGAAAAGGAACAAATTTCTGTCTTTTGAATAAAGAAATAATAGCAGCTTGTGCAGAATAATATCTTACCACCATTTATTTCATTGGCTTCTCATCTTCTGCTTACAGCCTGAATCAATTAATAAGTTAGTGTAGAGAAAAGCCTACGTCTCAAGGCAACAAATGCTTACAACAGTGACATTACCGGACATCTCCTTCATACGGGTCATCTGGTGGAGATCACAAATCCCTTTAAAATTATCAGTAGACAAAGAAGCTCAATCCCCCTCAAGTTTGTCAAAGCAATCTCTATCAAACGCCTGAAACCCGGTTTATGTGTTCAGAAAGAAGCAGTCATCAGTCTTCCCTTGCCCACCTGGTAACTGGATGTCTTTGCTTTGCCTTTTGTCTGATTACGTAATCTCCGGCTTTAACCTCACCCGCTTTGATGTAGTGTAGTTTTGCTTGTCTCTTGTTTCTATGATCCTAGTTAGGAATTAATGATCAGTAATCTTCTCAACCTTCCTAATCTCGATTTCCATTCCTCAGCAACTACGTCTCATTGGATGACTGGCTCTGACGATGAGGATTTCCAGAATCATCTGCATCTGCTTCTCGCAATCTAACCTATCTTTTTCAACTCCGAAAGTCTATTTATGATAGCTTTCCTCGTTATCACGTGTTTCTTATCGTCCGTATTTCATCACTCACACTTTTCACTGCACAAACAAAGCCTCTTACGAAAACTGCTGTGCCAACCACTACCATATTACGTCGCATGTAACCACCGTCCATTCGCCAATTCGTGAAATCCAATATCACTTCGAAACTTTACATACTTAATCACTTCATGATACAGTGATTTAAACGTGTAAGTCAACCGATGTGTAACTTTATTTCACATGTGTATCTCCAGAAAGTCGATTTTCATCATTGATGGACTAATGGAGTTCTAAATAATTGTCTTCAAAAGAATGATAATATGATTCTACGATAATTTGTTTATTGAATATACATCACACGGTGAAACAGTATAATTTATCGATTGTAACTTCACAACTTCACGTTTTGACATCTACAGTTCTCCTTCACTTCTCCTTTCTCCTCATTTGTCTTAGGAGCAGTAGAATTTCCCAGATATTTGGAACGTGTGCTGAACCATTCCCGCCTAACACATTCTCAGATGCTTGGATAAATAAACTTTTAGTCTTCAATCTACGCATCCACCCTTTGACATTCGATTTTAGGTGTGCCATCTAATCCCATCCTGTTTTGTGGCTGTGTTTAACCACATGTAGGCCTATAGCTGAGCTAATTATTAGACTTCTAATAATTATAGGGTCAAGTGACCTGCATTTGTCTAGGTCTGTGTGTCTCCATCCTGTTACAACGTATTGACTAAATAATGCTGAAGAAAGATGATTCAGTTACTGCGTAGTAATTCGAGATGCTGTATATTATGGTATTATAATTGTTTGACAAATCTAATAACATTTAACTGCCAATTTTCAGTCCAAACGGTGTTATTTTGTTTTCCATTCATTTGAGAAAAAAACAAAAAGCTTTATAACAATGAATATCATGCACCCATCGCCCAAATGTTTTTACGACTATTAAACAGCAACATGGTTTGGACAATAGTGACTACTCAAGTTAGCGAAGATATAAAGAATGTCAGTCTGTTAGTGTTAGAAAGGGGTAGATGCCCTTCATATACATTGAGACTGATCTGTTCAGTTTTTAGAGAATGAACAAGCTTACATCCGTTGTCTACTTGTAGTAACGAGACAATCTGAAACGTTTGTCAAGAGACAAATGCACAAACATGTAACAGAGTGAAATCTGTCCCAGTTGGGGACAAATGCTTCTTCATGAAGCTTCAAACTTTGTAAAATAACCATCAGGCACTTAGAGGGAAAACAGCGAGTGCAACTAGGAGAGCTTGCAAATGAATTCTCTCTCAATGACTGTACAGTTGAAACTTACACACATTTTGTTCCATAAGCTGACGTAGTTGGTATATTGTCCGACAGGACTTAGGGATAGATGTGAGATTGAGGGGAGCAGACTAAATTCTCTAAAGTAGGAAACACGTTTGGTGGAGATATTGAACAGTCACAAGGACCATGAAAACCAAAATCACACAGGCCCCGATATATGATTGTGTGTCATGTTGACTAATTATTTCTGACAGACGGGTTTGTTCAAAAGATACATAGAAGGAGAATGAAATAACGTTTTGTGAATGGAGGTTGAAGAAAATGAGCCGAGAGGTAAAAGGAAAGAAATGGAAGCAATTCGATGATGTATACAGAAGCTGGACAAGCCTCTCATTAACACATAGCTCTCACCTTTCCATACGACTATTTAGGAATTCGATGGTGTATAGAAGTCGAATTCATACAGCATACTGTTAACTCTAAACGATCTGTAAGCCGAGATATAGTGACAGGTGCTTACGCGGTGAGCGATTTTAGCACTCGCGAATGAAGCAGCATCATCCGCAGACGACCACGCTATGTAGCCTTCCCGAACGCGTTTTGAGAGGACACAGAACCACCTAGACACCTGGCTCAACAGTATCCAGTTTCAGTCCCATGTTCCTCGTCAGTAAACCAAGGAAACCTGATGTCATCTCAGATATGAGTTGAGATATTTTGACATAACCACCTTCAGTTCAAAAGTTAGTCACCAGTCTCTTCTGGTGTGACGGATCATGCAGTAATATTTGTCTCAACTGACACAACTCACTGGTAGTAGGTATAGTTTTAGTGAAGAAACAAGATTTCCACCTTTAGGTATTGCGCACAATACGTTGACGACAATGCAAGTATGTGATATCCGAAAACGTTATCCGTTAGGCATGCAGCTCAGCTAATATCTCTGGCTGAAACACGATATGATTCCATCTATGCAGACTGTAGGTGAATATAGTTGATGGTCAACTCTAGAAACATTCTCAACAGAACTGATAATACTTTTATCACCATCATAATCATATCTTGTGCTCTTTCTGGAATATTCGGTTTCAGTCTCGCATTCTCGTTGCACTCAGTGCAGTTCGTAGTGTTATTAAGATTTTCTGAATAAGTGAATTACAGAGGAGCTTTAAATTTCTCTTAGTATAAAGAACGCAGAGGTGATTGGGGCTTATGAAATGTCCACCACTAGGATATTTATTGAAAATTGATTTTACGGGATCCTGCCCTTCACTAAATAGACAACTAACTGAGGAAATATTATGTCTCCAACTTGGTAATAGATTTTTAATCGTAATCAGCTATAACCAATGAAAATCAACATGACAACGGAGGATTGATTATTGGTGCATTATCATGGCACAGGTAATCCGAGTCAAGTGATGTGCTACCATTACTAACTAGAGGCCACCGATGAGTGATATCCTCAGCAAACCGTGAGCCTCCATTTATTATCCTCAAAACATACAACTATTTAGAACACATGAGAAAGTGATGCCTCACAACATTCCTCGGACAACGAGATCCTGACCGATAATCACTTACCTCCAAAACTTGTATCATCTGAACTGACATGGCTGGCTACCATGTAAGACCTGAAAAAAGCCATATTAAGCCCACCACATCATCAATGGCGCCCAGACTAACCAATGCTGGTGCATCAGTAATTAATATGTCTCCTAAATGTCACTAGCTATTTGTTATAGGCCAAATAGTCATTTACACTGGAATTATGAGAATCGTGGTGCGAAGGAATTGATTTACCCGGTGAGACAAGCGAGACCACTATTTTACTTTTCCATTAGTCTGGATTTGTTTGTGCTCAAATGAATAATGAAGATGCCTGAGTGTTATTTCTCACTCGTTTCTGCTTAGTCATTCCAAACCCATGTAGGGTGCTCTAAACTCAGAAGTGTGCTCACTACATTTGTCGAGTTTGTGGAACACCTTGACATGAAAATCCCTTGTTCAAATAAGAAGGCAGCAGATTACTTTGTGAAATTTGTTTATTTTCAGTGATTCACTGGGTCCAGGATAACGAGGTTTAGTCTTCGTTAACATCAGCCAATCTTATCTGTGACTCACCGAAATCGAATACAGTGTAAAACTTGCTCATGAATACATCGCCGAGAACCCAGTATCCAGGGGATAATTGATCATTGCTGGCGAAAGGTGATGTACAGTCTGTATACAGCCAGTTGTCCTCCTGGAATCGAAAAATGAAACAAATTTTCTTCAGTTTCAAGCGCATAATCCTTTTGAATGACAATTAAGAGCAGCCTTAGTGAATGTCGACGTCACCTACTCCACAGCCAACTCCGATCGGTCAGAACACAAACAGCATGCCTTCCGAAGGAGTTAACTCGAATATTCTGATTACAGTTGACTGTTATTTCTAAGTAGAATGAATGAAAATAATGGAACCGGACGAATTTGTTGAGAATTATTTGAGTTTGAGCATATGTTTCGAAAAAGGATTGACAGCATTTTCAGGAGAGAAGTGGAAGATAAGAATGTAAGGGTGGGGGCTGTGATAATGTGAAATTCATTTAATAAATTAGAGGAACCGTGATAATAATAAATTGGTGTTGGTGACTCCAGAAATGAATTTTAATTTGTCTGGTGATTCGTCCCATGCGTAATACTAAGGTAAACGCACTAGCTGGAAATGACGCCATACAAATCATATCAGAAGCTCACATTTCCCACAAAATGCCGTCCACTTCTACAGATAAGTGACTAAAATAAATCCACACTGGTTTCATGGATTTCACAATACTTTGGTGTCTGTTCAATGAAAACTAGTGACATTGGTGAAGACGTTTTCTCAGTGTGCTGATCACAACAGAATCAGAAGGTTCAACTGAATGATTATACTCACCTTAAGCACGTAATCCTTCGGGCTAAGTACATAGGTCCTCCTCCTGAAAATAAACTCAACTGTAGGGAGCAGATGAATGTTATTACAGTCGAGTGAGTATTCACCACCGCCAACCCATCTGGCACCAAGATGATTATTAATCGCATCCACCACTCTGCTATGTCCCATTATCAAAGACGTTCCAGTATCTATAACACCAGTGCATTTTCTAAGGCAAAATTCTGCTCCACCTATCTTCATGCTAAACATGGTAAGAAAAACAACTGAAACATAAGCCAGTCAATTCAGTGAAGAGTGTAGTGATATAAATCATTCAAATCACAAAATACCTCATCCTAATAATCAAACGCGATGAGCATACTTAGTTCTCCTCAGTAACTCCTAAACAAACAAGCAAATCCCTGTCTGTTGATTAAGTTTCTATTCTCATCAGAATTTGTTGCACGTTCAACCAATAACAGCCTTCACTAAATCATTCTAACAACTTTCTTCACTGGAATACTCGTGAACAAATACAAACCATGCTGTGATTACGCACGCCATGAACGTTTCCACCTGAGACTACGTAAGACAACTTAACTACAAACTATCAGCGTTTTAGCTGCCATTCGCCAACATCTGTGTGTTTATCGCAAGTTAAAAGAGATAGTCAGCATATGTGATGTTGTTTGGTAGAAGGGGAATCGGTTTTCATGTGTTGAGGTGATGATGGTCGAATGACTGAGTTATTTGTTTGGAAGAGAGTATTCTTGTTTCAAACCGACTATGAGAAATGAGGGATGCAGAATAACTGTCTACTAAATTGTCATCTGGAATTATCAAGTCATTTCTCATCCAAAAGATCTTAGCTTAAATGTCTGACTTATATTAGTGGAAACCTAAGAATTGTTGCGTGTTTTAAATATCCTTTGGCTAGAAGTGATAACTATGACAACCACTCCACATTTTCTGTGACCGTAATGTTCACGTGAAAAAACTATATCCTCCGACAACACAATAAGAAGACGTAGTTTATCTGAAATGGGTAATGTATTTGCGCAACACATTTCGGAGATTCTGATCATACAAGTACTTGTCATACACAGTTTTTATAGAAGGAAAGAAGGCACAAATAATTACCATACAGGTCAGATTGTGTACAGGTCAAGGTCACAAATAGCGTTTAGGAGGACGCAAATGCGTCAGATACCAGCTTGCTAGGCTACTAGCTTACTATTTTTTTCGCCGGTAACAAGCCCGGGTAAAGAGGGAGGGTGGGGCGTGGTGCTAGCAACTCCACCCCTGTAAAACAACCAAATCGCTACAGAAACTTCAACGAATAAATATATTAAAAATTCTAAAAACATAAGCAATAGCCTTACTTTTCGCTGGAATCGGGGAAGTGAAATGACGCAGGCTGGTGAAAGCCTTCGGGAAGCCAGTCAGCCGATGTGCCTTCTTTCGATGAAAGCAAAAGTAAGGATGGGTACCTGGAATGTTCGTACAATGTACGAAACTGGAAAGGCTGCCCAGATAGCCGCTGAAATGAGAAGGTACAGAATAGAAGTGTTGGGAATCTGCGAGAGCAGATGGAACGGAACTGGAAGGTGCCAACTACCTACTGGAGAGACAGTAATCTTTTCCGGCCACCCAGAGGACAACCACGAGCACACCGAGGGAGTGGCCATCATGATGTCACCAACAGCAGCCAAAGCTCTCATGCAGTGGGAACCAATCTCCTCCAGGATAATGACAGCCAGGTTCAACTCAAAAGGAAGGAAAGTTACAGTCATTCAATGCTATGCGCCTACAAACGTCTCAGAACAAGAGAAGAAGGAGGCGTTCTACAGACAACTACAAGCAATAATGGACAACGTCCCAAATGGCGATATCAAAATCCTGATGGGCGACATGAATGCGAAGCTGGGACGAGACAACACAGGAAGAGAACTCACCATGGGTCGTGAGGCCCTCGGTGAAATGAACGACAATGGTGAACTCTTCTCAGACTTCTGCGCCTTCAATGATTTGGTGATTGGTGGTAGTGTGTTCAAACACAAGGATATACACAAGACGACATGGATTTCACCAGATGGAAACACCAAGAATCAAATAGACTTCATCTCAATTTCAAGAAAGTGGAGACGGAGCCTACTGGACACAAGGTCAAGGAGAGGAGCAGATGTGGGTTCAGACCACTATCTAGTAGAAGGGACTTTCAAGGTGAAACTAAAAGCCTCGAGGATAGCTGGGGATAGGCCACAATGCAAGTTCAACACTCAATTACTGAAGGACACAACCACAAAAGACACCTTCACTGCAACTGTCAGAGCAAAGCAGGAAACACTACGCGACATCACTGAAGAATCATGCGTGGAAGAACATTGGAAGTCTCTGAAGGCGATTCTCAACGAAACGTGTTCAACGGTTCTAGGAAGAAAGAAGAGACAAGACAAGGAATGGCTCTCAACGGACACTTGGAAATTAATAGAAGAGAGGAGAATGGTGAAAGAGAAAATGATTCAATGCAAGGACGGACAGGAGAAGGAGACGCTGAGCTCAACTTACAAAGCACTGGACAAAGAAGTGAAGAAGAGTGCTAGGAAGGACAAAAGACGATTCTACGACAACCTGGCCACTGAAGCTGAGAAGGCAGCAGGCAAAAGGGACCTGAGGACACTATATCAGATAACCAAATCTCTATCCGGGAAGAGACCAACACAAGCGAAACCTATAAAAGACAGCCAAGGGAAGCCCATTACCAAGGAAGAAAAACAGATTAAACAATGGGCGGATCACTTCAAAGGACTCTTGAACCGACCATCACCTGCAACCCGTCCAGAAATACCAACAACAGCGCGCACACAACTGCAAGTTGACACCAATCCTCCAACGAGAGCTGAAGTCTTGAATGCAATCAAGCTTCTGAAAGCTGGAAAGCAGCCGGACCAGATGGAATACCCCCTGAAGCACTGAAAGCGGACCCAGAGACTACAGCAGACATGCTGACTCCATTATTGCAAAAGGTCTGGAAGGAGGGAAAGGTGCCTACTGACTGGAGGAAAGGTTACCTCGTGAAACTACCAAAGAAGGGCGACTTAGGACTCTCTCTGCAAGAACTGGCGAGGAATCATGCTCCTATCGACGCCAAGTAAAATCCTGAGTCGCATCATCCTGGAGAGATTAAAGGACGCACTGGAGACAGAACTCCGACCAGAACAAGCTGGATTCAGGAAAGGCAAATCATGTACTGACCAAATTGCAACTCTACGCATCATCATCGAACAAAGCATGGAATGGCAATCAAACCTCTACCTCAACTTTATAGACTTTGAGAAGGCCTTCGACAGCGTTGATCGTGAAGTAATTTGGAAATTACTCGAGTACTATGGCGTACCCCAAATATTCATCAACCTTATTCAACAGCTGTACGACAACGGCACATGTCAAGTGATCCACAACGGAAAACTCAGCGAGGCGTTTGGAGTAAACACAGGAGTCAGACAAGGGTGCTTATTATCACCAATGATATTCCTAATTGTGGTGGACTGGATTATGCGTCAGACAGTGGGGAAACGAGAAGACAGGAATATCCTGGACCGACGTGAAGAACCTAGAAGACCTGGATTTCGTGGATGATTTATGTTTGATGTCACACAAATCGAAGACTTACAAGCGAAAACCGACAAACTGGTCGAAGAAGCAGCAAAGACAGGACTCCAGGTAAACATAGACAAGACGGAGGTTATGAAAATAACCAACCAACAACAGCAACAACATCCAACGTCAATCACCATCAACGGGAGGGATTTGAAAGAGGTTACTTCATTCACTTATCTAGGGAGCATTGTCTCAACTACAGGAGGAGCGGACGAGGATGTCAAATCGAGCGAGAATCGGGAAGGCGGGCGAGAAACACATTCATCAGCCTGAAATCAATCTGGAAATCTTCGTCACTCAGCATCACCAACAAAATTCGGATTTTCAATACAAACGTAAAGTCAGTTTCTATACGGATCAGAAACTTGGCGGGTCACAAAGAATATTTCCAAAAGGCTGCAGACCTTTATTAACAACTGTCTTCGCTCAATACTGAAGATCAGATGGCCGGAAAGAATCACCAACAAGGAATTATGGGAACAAACAAAGCAAGAACCGATCGCCCAACAAATATGCAGGAGAAAGTGGAGATGGATCGGACACTCGTTGAGGAGACCGCTGGGTGACATCGCGCGTCAAGCCCTCGAGTGGAACCCGAAAAGGAGGCGGCGTGTGGGGCGTCAATGCAAGGGTGACATGGAGGAGATTGTGTGAAGAGGAGTTGAAACAGTATGGAATAACATGGATTCAGGCGAAAAGTACAGCAGAGGACAGAAGAAAATGGAGACGTGCAGTCGAAGCCCTATGTTCCACTAGGAACCCAAGGGAGCAATAATAATAATAAAAAAGGCGTCAGTGAGAAAGATAAAAAGAGAAACAAACAAAGCAAAGAAGGGGTTCAAGATGTTGTTAAGTAAATCGGTTCTTGGTTCTAAATTGGATCACCGAGTCAGGTTTAAGTTAATAACAAATAACTTCCAGACACATAAGGCAGTTTCCAGTTACTTTATGGCTAAGGCTTCAACGAATTTAAGTATGTTATCTTCTATAAAAACAAGTACTTGTATGATCAGAATGTCGGAAATGTGTTGCGCAAATGCATTACCTATTTCAGATAAACTACGTCTCCCTATTGTGTTGTCGAATTTCATAAGAGGAATTAAATGCAATAAATAACATATTTGCCCATAAAATCATGTAAGCATCAATTGACTACCTTTTGATTATAACAGACCAATGGCTACCAGAAACGACAGACAAGCTTTCGAAATCTCCAATAAAATATTCAGGATTGACACCACCAATCACCATCTCTCCACCGACATGACCATTCTTCCTACAATATACAAAACACGAAAACTGCTTAGCTTACTTGGCTAAGAGTGAGATCAATTTAGCCTTCCTTCAAGCATAAATGTGAACGGTGATCATGATAAACATGGCGCACAAATTTCCATGAAGTCACAAAATTCAATAGTGAATTCCAACACCTCACATTTCAGTGTTATCTTAGTTGCAAGTGAAAACGATATAAGACGAAACAGTACTATGAGACACTATTACTTTCCATATATAATGTCATAATTGTGCACTAGAAGACACCACTCATTAAGAATAATCGTCACGAATACGCTGATAATTCAATGTCTGCAACACCGGATGAGGAGACAGTTTTGAAAATGAGAATGATCACACTGTACAAATGAAAGAAACGCTATCATCGATTTTGGCGAAACTGAGGAATGAATTGGATTTGGATTTTGGGAATGTATGAAGATAGAATACTGTATTGAGGCAATTCAATGAGTGTCTATAATTATCTTGCTCATATGAAGCAAGTCATATACACCCTGAAAAATGCACATTGTCAAGTCTTTCTCCATGCTCTTATTTGAATATGGCCTTGAACTACTTCCTGTTTGATGGATTCCGAATTTATTTCACACTGAACATTCATCCTGTGTGTTGATCTAGAGACATTTAAACTTATTTGCTTACAAGTGGATCTGTATTCCGAATAACTAAATATCAAGTCACAATATTCATACCAGATATATATGAATGCCAGTGAACTACTCATATCTATTTTTAATGAGCTGTTGATTGCAAGTGTAGTTTTGCCTTGATGTTATTCGGAACCTACCAATTCAAATAGAACGAAAATACTGGATCGATATCCCTTGACTGAGAGAGTATATTCGGGAAGAATGGAGTGTTCCCATATCTTGACACATTTCTCCTTGACATACCAATGACTCCATCGTACTTACTACCAAAGAAATCCTCGGAAAACACATTTGTCACTTCAGCAAACGCCTGATTGCGAATAACTAAGGAGTTTATCTAAAACCAAGGTCATTTCAAGTCGTAAAGCCACAATACCTGCATTGTATCCATGCTCCAATATCCAGAGTAACTGCCAATCAGGTAATTTATATCAAACTTCGTACCATTTGGCTTGTAGGTGGATGATTTCGAACTGTCGTAGAATCGAATGAACCAACATGGAATGTCAAGAAACCAACATTTTCTTGACGGTAGCCAGGTGTCGGTTGATCCTGTATCGAAGAGTACACGAAACTCTTGTGGTGGTGTTCCCACAAGCACTTCCCCATAGTACTGAATCTGAAAAGGATATCATGAATGAAAGATTTGAAAAATCGTCTGTGATTTCAATATCATGATGAACTAGTCTACATTAATGAAAATAATGAGTAGTTTTAAAAGACTCTCACCAATATTTGATTGATGTGCCATGTGTGGAATAATATTAAAGGGGAAGTCATCGAAATATTGACAATACAGCCTGGAAGTTTTAACAATTCAAATTATGAAATCTGATCAAAAAAAGAATAGAAGTAAATCAGTGTGCAAGAGTACCGATCCATTTTTAAATACTTTTATTTTGTGTCACGATGTTGCGGTATTATTTATTTACATATGACATATTAATCACGGTGTACTGCAGGCTATCATGTCACCTTAATATCTAGTTTGTAGTCATGATGAAAATTCATTGAACCGCTAACAATGAGAGACAATAACACGTAAACATCCTCCTCAAATTAACACCTACTGGTGATATAGTCAGGGGAGGAAATCGCAACAGCTCATTTTCTTATTCATACAGTATCAACGGAATGATTCTAAGTACTCTGATTCTGCACTCCGCAAAAAATATTTCATTACATAGACTTACATTGTTTATCTAGTATTGCAGATTCAGATATCACTCAAATCAACAAACATTTGTTTCATTCCTGAAATTCGACTTACACTGCCATAGTTATACAGCGGTTCTGATGTTGGTGTATCTCCGCCATTCAATAAATTCACCCAACTTTGTTGTAATACCCTGAACAGTTTCCGATATGGATTTAGCAGTGAGCTGATTCCAGTCACCGGATGCAATGGAATCTTGATAATCTCAGAATTCACATGACACAGACAGATGAGAAATATGATCAGGTTCATTGGAATGAATGTCAGAAGGAGACGCGAAAACGTGGTCGATGTCTTTCTGTCTTAATGTGCATCCACTTATATTCACATGCTGGTAACAACGAAATTTCTGATTGGAGATCACCGTGATTTTGTTTGTTGTCAGTATATTATTAAGTGGTGCTTGCGAATGATGGCAAATATAAACATGTTTTATGAATAACTGAATATATGTGCGATATACGTGCAAGTGAGTCCCCTTAGCATAATGGACTTTAGATGTGTGTAAAGATATTTGATTTGCGTAATTTCGAAATTCTCTTTGAATACTTCAAATAAGAAATATAAAAGTGGACAATTGTTTTCAATAAATTGGTTTTCGGTTCAAACAGTTTCAAATCTGTCAGCATTTTCATGTAGCAGACGGCGAATATGGAAACATAACCTTATGAATAATAGGATTGTAATTGATAGTGTGAAATGGGTTTGGTTGAAAAGATGATGTTGTTTTTTATAGTACTGCTTGTGTTTACGAATTAGGAGTCTCTGATTGTTATTGGCTCTCTAACGGATTTCAAAGCATTATCTGAGAGTTACATGATAGGTACTGTAGTCAGTTCGCACTGTTCATCTTCGATTCGCCTCACTATCGCCCATCAGTTTGTTGCCCACATTTATTTCCTAATCATGATAGGTTTTTATTATTTAATCTCATTTAAATCGTCTACTTTTATGTCGTTTCATCTCCGTAAAAGTTAATTCTGTCCGGACACATTTCATGTCGGTTGTGATGTTTTCGTCGATCAGGTAATTATCCAGAGTAAATATCACACCTTAGTCAAATAAGAAATGTTCACACAGAATCAATTCCATTTCTGGTTAAATACTGTCTTGCGTTCACAAACAAGTCACACTGTTTTCAGCTAGTGATATGCTTACAATGTTTCACTGCAGTCGAATTTTACCCAATTGCCAATAGTCTCCACACGTCTACTTCCTGGAAACTGTTGAAATGATTGATTAGTGAGTGTAATAAAATCAGCATTAATCAATTAGGAAACACCAGGCTAAATAGCAAACAATTTCAGGAAAGCTGAGCGTGCAGTTTGCTACATTTCACCTTGTTATCTAATGAGCAAATTAAAATATGTTTGACGATAGCACATTTTGACATCATCGATAAACCGACGACTTCTATAAATTCAGTGATTCTAAGTAGGAGGAATATGCGTAAAAGTACGACACAGGGATTTGCAAATTTGAAAAGTTGAAGTGAACAGTTTCTTCCGCATTCACATCGGTTGACAGTTCATTCACTTATGCTAATCCGAATAACAATTGGATAAGACGATAAAATCAACACATAGTGAAATAAATATGTGGTGATTTGATTGATTGAAGTATTGTCAGTGAACTCACGTATCAAGTTGACTGATGCATTGACGACCAGGAATCCAACAATTATTACAACACCACTTCGAGTGTTGACTGGAATTCGAATAAGTTTCCATCATCAGTTCATACGCCTTTAAAGCAGAAAAGACCATCTCAATGAGATCCACCCAAATAATATATTCACCATGGAATATGAAAACAACTACAAGTTTAATTTTCTCGACCTAAATGTAAAAACAAGAAACGATGGAACTGTCCATCTACAGAAAAAAAAACTTCACTACAAGAGCTTCCGCCCTATGCACTATAAGCAAAGATTAGTAAGGATATTGTACGAAAGAGCCGGGAAACTTTGATCACTGAACAAGGTTGAAGAAAAATTAGGTTTCGCTGAGAAACGCCAAAGAGAAAATGGATACGCGAAAGGATCTATACAAACGTATAGCAGCTAAAGGATAAGGAAGAAAACAGTCAAGTGCAGAAAAGAAGAAGGTGTTCATTTGCCTCCCATTTAGAGGAGATGCAGTGTCACAAAAGATTGACAAAAAAATGAGAGGTTCGATAATAAGAATAGCTTCCCTGCAGCTAGACTCATAACATTATACAGCACTACTTCTTATATAAGCCAATCGAAACTGGATGAATACCCTGCTGATTTCGTCTACAACTGCGTTTATGAGCTTACCTGCGCTTGAGGGAGAATAAACACTCAAAGGATAGAAAGAAGTGCCTCTGTTCGTTCTAATGAACATATTCCAAAAAAATTGTGCCTGAAAGCAAGCAAATATTCTCAGAGTGTAATACCAGACATGTTATTGATACCGGTCATCTCGTAGAGATTTTTAAGTCATTCAAATATTGAATGGACAAAGGACAGTAATTGATTGCGATTTTCAGCAGCGATCGCAATCAAACGATTCTAACCAGACTTATGCATCCAGAAAGAGAGTGTGATTGATCTCTCACTACCTTGGTAGCTGAATTTTGATTCTGATTACATTAAGTATTCACCTAATTCAGTGATCTCGACTCACTGAGAAAATTTAAATCTTATAAACTGTAATTGCTTTTGTCCTTTCAGTTACTCTGTGAACCTACAAGACAATGCTGTTTGTTAATTTTTTCTATTTTGTGTTTAACCCCTCCAGCCTCTTTTCTACTTTGAAGCAGAATAAATTGATGATGGAAACGTAAATTAAAAATTGTAATGCTCACACTTTGAATGTGTCAGTTTTATAGTATTCCTCCTCTACTACCACTTGAACATTAAAGTATGTTGTTATCATCTATATAGCCATTGTAATTTCAGGTAGTCTGTAGGTGACGAGAACCAGTGAAATAGAATGTCACCATTTTATACTACAAATCTGGTCTTTCTCTCTCTCTCTCTCTACGAGACATGTCAATCTCCTCATGATAACTACATGATAGATTCCCCAATGTTTGAGGCTTATGGAAATCAGTGTGTGCACTTGTCTTATCTTAATGTCCTAACTATTGTTTCGTTTGTTTTCAACTTCATACTACTCACCGTTAGTTAGTAGTTCGAACTAACTTTTTACCTCTTTAATGCCACTTCGTTTGCTATTGAAGTTTAACTCACTGAATGTATTCGGACTCTATTTGATGTATGGTAATGAATTTCTTATAGTAGAACATTATCTGCTCTGTACGCTTTATTTGTGTACTCGTTACTGTTGAACGCTGTTTATTCGCATCCTTATATTCCGTGTTTGGCATTTACGTGGATCCCGCATGACACAGGTCTGCTACTGTTATTTATTGACGCACATTGACTGTGGTTCCGACGTCAATCAACCTCACGCAACTCACAACTGAGGTTTGTTTATTGAATTTCGTATTTAATTTCCCTTATGGTACCGCCATTTTAGGCAAATCTTGTGTATTTTCATTTTACGCGTAACGGCAGAGCTGTGTCGTATGCGATCCACATGTTATTTCAACAGATTGTGAATACCAGACACGAATAAAGGGATGCGAATAAACAGTGTTCACCAGTAGTCAGTACACAAATAAATTGTACAGAGCAAATAATGTTCAACTATAAGAAAGTGATTACCGTACATCAAATAGATCCCAAATACATCAGGTCGGTCAAACTTCGATCGGTCGGAAACAAATCCGTGTTTAAAAATTAGTAAGTAAATATAGTTCCGACTACTTGCTGATGGCGAGTAGTATAAAGTTGAACACAAAAGAAACAATAGCAAAGCACAGATGGGAAATGAATTAGTAGTATTTGGATCCAGACTTATTTTGAATATATATATATATATATATATATATATATATATATATATATAATAGTGCATCCACGCTTACTAGCTCCAACTTTTTATGGGAGTTTGGTGTTTAGTGATCATTTTTACAGAAGCTAATTTATGTGCTACGGACAAGAATTTAACGTAGCTTGTCGTGTGGTTCAAACGAAAGAGAGTTCGAATAAATTTCGGAAACGATATTTCTATGTATGGTCTATGTAATCTGACATAACTGTGTACCATTTCGTCAAATGAATAATTCCTATGCTACACACCACTGTGTCCTATAGCTGCAAATGCTGTCATTGCTTCTGTGAGAGACGAAAGTGCAAGGTGACAGGTCTTTCATGATGGAGGAGTGAGATGTCTTTGGGTGGATAAAAAACCACCACATAGTTGGACGACGTGCAGGAGCTGATAAAACATGGAATGTGAAAAGTTAGCACAAAATCTTCCCCTGACAAAATTTCGAGAATAAACAACATTCCAGTCAGGAATTCGAGAAGGAAATTGTGGTATTACAGACTACACGGTTATTTCATATTTTTTGGTCAGAAGATTCACAGAGCATATTCGACTGTAATTAACAGCATTCAGACTTCCAGAAAATAAAGTTCAAACTGACTGTACCTGGAGAACATTTCACTGTGTTAATGAGTGTAGGGGACTATAGAATACGTGCTAAGGATTAAAGGAGGTGTCTAATATGTCAGTCATCCTCTAACACAAAGAGAACCATAGTATTCAGTGATCGACAATGAATGTTTAGCGATGATGTGTACGTTAGATTATTTCAGTGGTCGCCTACTAGGTCAACAGTAACATATCGAAACTGATAACAGGGCTCTGAGGCGATTGAAGACAGTAGCAGCCCTCAGTGAGGAGTTGTCATGTTATACATTAGGTCCACAAGAGTACGGTTTCATAATGTCCACCTCCTTAGAATTATAAGCAGACAAAATAGCATAATTCTCCTCCAGTTTGGTGAAGCTATGCCAATCAAACGCCTGAAACAGGAATTATGTGTTCAGAAAGAGACAGTTATTAGACTTTTCTTTGACCTGATAAGTCGTTATCATTATTCTCTCATTCAGTTGATTACCTAGGCTTATGCTTTAACCTCACCTTCTTTTGATATGGCGTAACTCTGAGAATTTTCCTTTGAAATCACTATATTATTACTCATTTTATTAGTTACCCAGCAGCTTACTCACCTCTTGTCTTTATCACACAAATCCTTCACCATTGTGAGCATACAGTAATTTTGTTCGAATATGAAATCTCTGAGTAACAACTAGATATGTGAAATTCACTGAGCACTGTTCATTCAGTTTAAAGACTGCTGCCAGCAGACATCATGCAACATTTAGAAGTACGTTAAAATTCTTCTATACATAAGTTATACATAGTTTCTTCAGACTGTGAACAGATAGTGGGAAGCCGACGAAATCGCTGATGATACCATCCTTTTCTCCTGAATGTATTACTCTGACTTTATTTAGAATCATGAAGAAGGACAAATGCATCCAGTTTCTGAAAGGTAATTTGTTGGTTGAAATTTTGTCTCCATCAGAAGACGGAGCCAATTTCCCTCAGATTGCATACGGAGATCATCCACTGAAACATCACTCATTAATACTAGTCCACTGTCAAAGATGGGATCCCACTTTCAACGCAGTGATACAGACAGTCACTGACGAAATGACCGTAAGTCGACTGACGGTTA